TCGGGGTGTTACACAAAATCCACCTTCTCTCCTCCCACTTCTACACTTCTACACCAATTAACCGCAGCTGGAATTTCTTAATGCGACATACGGAATAACCTTGAACTTTCCAACTCCTCCACCCCACCCCCCCCTTTTCATACTTGGCAGCTGAATCTCAGAGCTGACACTGGTGCTTTGGAGAATAATTTGACCCCCCCCCTCTTCTTTGTGGCAGCCAGGGATGGGATTCTACCAGTTCGCACCTATTCGCTAGAACCGGTTGTTAACATTCTAAGCAGTTTGGTGAACCGGTTGTTAGAAGAAATTACTGGGCTAATCCTGTAAGGAAGGCAGGAAGGAAACATTCTGGTGTTGCTTACAGAAACTGCCTCTCCATTAACCCTTATTACATTCTTGGCAGGACTAGACTTCCTGTCTCAGGAACCTCTCTGGAGTTTTTTCCTCCTCCTTTGCTGGTACTTTGCTTGTGTGGAGTGACCATTCAAAGTTACAATGGCACTGAAAAATGTGACTTACGACCTTTTTTCACACTTATGACTGTTGCAGCATCCCCACAGTCACGAGAGGCCGGGCGAGGAGAGGCGTGCCTCGATGTGAGTGATGTTGAGTTGGCCACGCCCAGCCAATAACATGACTGCCAAGCCACGTCCACCCAATCACATGACCACCAAGCCACGCCCACCACCTAAGCCATGCCCACAGAACCTGCTGTTAAAAATTTGAATCCCACCCCTGGGCAGCCCCTCAAATATTGGAAGACTGCTATCCTGTCTTCCTCTAGTCCTTCTTTTCTCTAGACTAACCAAACCCAAATCCTGCAGCCAGTCTTGTTCTAGTCCCACGTTGGAGAACCAGAAGTGGCACGCTAAGCCACTTCTGCCAGCATGCAAGAGCTCGCCCGGAAGAGCCCCACTGCACGTATGTGCGCACTGCCGCCTGAGAGCTGATTGTCAGGTGTCTGGCATGCGTGTGCGGGAGCGCAGGGAGCAGGGGAGACATGTGCACATGTGCAGAGATGCACAGCGCATTGGGGTATCGTTTGCACATGCCCAGATGGATGGTATGGGGGTTATCGTGTACAGAGATGCACGGTGCATGGGGGCGATTGTGCACACATGCACAGAGGTATGGTGCGCAGTGGGGGAATCGCGCACGCAGGTGGAGGGTGGGGCAGCACGCATTGCCTTTTGGGTGCTGGCACACGAGCGCGAGCATGTGCACAATTATCAGCACGGGAGCCGAAAAAGGTTAGCCACCACTGTTCTAGTCTTGAGTATCCCTGTGTTTGCGCATTGGGGGAAGCAGCTGTTTGACTGGTTCTTCCATCCAACAGACTGGAATATTGTCCTCCAATGGAAAGTGGAGGGAAATGCTCTTTAGCCGCCGTTCAGCACAGCCAGATCTGAAGGACCGCTGCATACATTTTTTGACACTGCACTGTCTAGTGAAGGACTTTAAAGGCGGAAAGACAGGAAAAAATGTTCTGTGCTCAATTCTCCAGTTCCACAGAGGAACAATACCAGCATCTTAAACCCATTTTAACTCAAGCCAGGTTTAGTGGTCAAGACACCACACTAGAAACCAGGAGACTGTGAGTTCTAGTCCTGCCTTGGCCATGAAAGCCAGCTGGGTGACTTTGGGCCAATCACCAGGAGACTGTGAGTTCAAGTCCTGCTTTGGCCATGAAAGCCAGCTGGGTGACTTTGGGCCAATCACCAGGAGACTGTGAGTTCAAGTCCTGCTTTGGCCATGAAAGACAGCTGGGTGACTTTGGGCCAATCACCAGGAGATAGTGTGATTTCTAGTCCCACCTTAGCCATGAAAGACAGTTGGGTGACTTTGGGCCAATCACCACGAGATTGTGTGAGTTCAAGTCCTGCCTTAGCCATGAAAGACAGTTGGGTGACTCTGAGCCAATCACCAGGAGACTGTGAGTTCTGGTCCCACTTTAGGCATGAAACCCAGCTGGGTGGCTTTGGACCAGTCCCTTTCTCTCAGCCCAAGTCACCTCACAGGGTTGTTGTTATGGAGATAATAAGAGGAGGAACAAGTATCAAGTATGTTTATTGCCGAATATATATAATAAAAATGAATTAATTATTCTCCTTGGATTCTCCTTTCCAAAAGGAGGGAGAAAATCCCAGTTCCCAACAACAACACTTTTTCCTTCTCTGTGTAATTTTATGGGAGTGACAGCCAAAATCCTGTTTCTCCTTGCTTTTCCTTCTTGCAGAAGTGGAGTCAAATTGCTATTTCCTGGAACCTCACACCTTTCCCCACTGACCAGGCATTGCAACGCCTACTCTGCCTCGGTCACATGTTTCCAAATTACTGCTTGAGGCACGAGACTGGCTGCAGACTCTTAAGATGGGAACTGTAATCGTTTGAAGTTCCTCCTTGCTTTCTCCTCGAATAGAAAGTCAACACAGTTTTGTTTTGTTTCTCTCATCTCAGACTTCATCCGCTTTTAATTTTGGGAAACAGAAGCAAAGCCTTATTAGATTTCACCTTCTGAGGGGTTTGTGTGTGTGTGTGTGTGTGTGTGTGGTCACCACGATGTAAAAAAGATGTGGAGACTCTAGAAAGATTGCAGAGAACAGCAACCAGGATGATGAGGGGACTGGAGACTAAAACATATGAAGAACGGTTGCAGGAACTGGGCTTGGCTAGTCTAGCGAAGAGAAGGACCAGGGGAGACAGGATAGCAGTCTTCCAGTATCTCAGGGGCTGCCCCAAAGAAGAGGAAGTCAAGCTATTCTCCAAAGCACCTGAGGGCAGGACAAGAAGCAATGGGTGGAAACTAATGTTGAAAGCAATATCCTTCTGGGTTCAGTTCCAAGTGGGGAAAAAGACACTGGAAACGTGGAGGCTGTTTGGGAAGATGGTTTAATGGTGGACAGGACCACATGCCTCGGAGCTCCTGGGCAGAAAGGGAAGGGATGCTGAGAATCCCTTGGTTTCACACCCTCTGTTGGGCCTCACCTTAGTGTTTCCTGTTCCTGTGTAAGAAATGTATCCTATTGGCTGTCAGACTCCCAGGGGGCGGGGGTCTTAGCTAACTTTGTAAACTTTCTCTGGACCACATGGCTTCACCTGAGTGCTGGCTGATGCCATCTTCCCAGGTGCCATGTGGTGAGATGGGTAATGCTATCATTTCCTGAGGGCCACGTCTTCATCCCATCACCCTGGAGCTGAAGGGAGGGCAGGGAGCTGCAGGAAGCTGCTTTGTCTTTAAAACATCTTTCTCCTTTTCTTCATCCAGGGAAATACAATATTCTGCCTTTTTAATATTTCCTAGAATATTTCATTCTTCTAGGAGAGGGGTGGGTGCTAACTTCCTACGCTAATCAAGGAGAGAAGCAACTTAAACCTAAGAAGGAATTTCCTGAGAGTTAGAACAATTAACCAGTAGAACTGCTTGCCTCCAGAAGTTGTGAATGCTCCATCACTGGAGGATTTTAAAGAAGAGACTGAAATGGCATATGGTGTCCTTCCTAAGCAGGGGGTTGGACTAGAAGACCTCCAAGGTCCCTTCCAAATCTATTATTCTATCTATTTAAGAAGATTGTGTACACACAACCTCAGACTGTTTGATTAGTTTATGGCCCCCTGTGAAATGTGAATGCAGAAAATACTGTATTTTTTTCCATGTAGAAGACGATACTTTTTCTTAAAAATATTTGCCTAAAAATGGAGGCGTGCCTTATATACAGGGGGCTGAGAGGATAACGACGGTCGTAAAACTGCCAATACCTTATCTCTGCAAATGAGCTTCACAAGCAAAACTTCTGGTTGCAGAGACAAGCTAACCGGTTTCCTCCAGTCGTGAGCCTTATGTAACGTTAGCTAACGCTGCGGACAGCGTGTAGCCAATGCCCAGATGTGACATGAAAGCGGTACTATCGGATCCTTTAGAACTTTGAAAAAAGAGCTTAGTCAGGTAAATAACAGATAATCAGAGTTGGAAGGGACCTTGTAGGTCATCTAGTCCAACCCCTTGCCCAAGCAGGAGACCCTGCACCATTTCTGACAGATGGGAGACCAATCTCTTCTTGAAGGTCTCAAGTGATGGCGCTCCCACAACTTCCGAGGGAAACTTCTGTTCCATTGGTTGATTGTTCTCACTGTCAGAAAGTTTCTCCTTATTTCCAGGTTGAATTTCTCCTTGTTCAGTTTCCATCCATTACTCACCTGGTGTGACCAGAAATTCCCCATACATGTCTTAAGCGGCTGATGATGGATCACCATGGATGTTATTGAGAAATAGAGATGTCAATTCTTCTCCACTCTGAAGATAAGACTATGTGTCCTTGGATGGCAACCTCCAAGATTGTAGACTAGATGGGGAAGTTAAGAAAAAAAGAAACCCCAACATAAATGACACTGATTCATCACTTTTATACTAATGCCAAGATCACAACGCAAAAGGTGTCCACCAAGTCACTATGTCAGGATTCCGGCAGTTGCCCCAATTAAATCATGGCTCTCGAGCCAAAATTCCAAAACTTCAAAAGGATTTATTGGGAGTTAACATATCCAGCACTGCCTGGATGTAGCTGACTCTGAGACACATAACTCATTGTCACCCTTGACCCTGGTTTTCCCCCACTGCCTGGGTGTATTGTAATTCATATTCTCCAATGGGACACATCCATAGCTAAGAGCCATCAATCATGTTCTCCAGTCAGAATTTTGCTGGCAGAAACTTCAGTCACCAAGTTACTATCTTTGAAAAACTATTTATGGAATGCACTTTCTATTTCCAAACTACCGCACTACTCTTTCAAACCCCTTTCCCCACTCCCTTTCCGTTGGCAACTCTAAAAAGACCATAGTAATATTTTATGAGTTGACACACTACTCGAAGGATATTTTGCCTTCCTAGAAGCAGAGTCAATCTGATTGAGAAGGTCTTTCTCAGATGCCCAGATACAACGAAGGAAGGTTTCTGGGCCTTTACATAAAACTTCCTCCTTTTAAATTCCCCCTCCCCTAGTCAACCAGTAAAATGGTTTAATTACTTCTGCTTCAGAGAACACCAGGAAAAAATAAATGTGTGTGGAAGTTTATACAGACAGACAAAGACACATATATGCCCAAGGGGATTTTTTTTTCTTTTCTTTCAACCAGTCTTTTAAGGCCATATCTGCAAGTTCCGTTTAGGAAGGAAAGGTTTATAAGGCGAAAAACACTTCTTCAAACCATCCTTATTGGGAATCCTATGAATCCCAGCGATGATGAAGGGCCTGGTTTTGATACTAACCCTTGCCATAATAGCCAGCCACATCAATCCGATTTATGGTAAGTCTCTTTTTTAAAAATTTCAGCTTAACTACAGAACCCATTTCCTGGTACAGAATAACAAAGTTGAGAGGGACCTTAGAGGTCTTTTAGTCCAACTGTCTGCTCCAGCAGAAGACAAGCGGTTGTCCAGCCTCTTCTTAAAAGCCTCCAGTGTTGGAGCATTCACAACTTCTGGAAGCAAGTGGTTAATTGTTGTATCTGTCAGGAAATTTCTCCTGAGTTCTAGGTTGCTTCTCCCCTTGATTAGCCTCCATCCATTGCTTCTTGTGCTGCATTCAGGTGCTTTGGAGAATAGCTTGACTCCCTCTTCTTTGGGGCAGCCCCTGAGATATTGGAACACTGCTATCATGTCTCCCCTGGTCCTTCTCTTCACTAGACTAGCCAGGGCCAGTTCCTGTAACCGTTCTTCATATCTTTTAGCCTTCAGTCCCCTAATCATCCTGGTTGCTCTTCTCTGCACTTTTTCTAGAGTCTCAACATTTTTTTTATAATGTGGTGACCAAAACTGGATGCAGTACTCTAGGTGTGGTCTTACTAAGGCTTTATAGAATGGTATTAGTACCTCACTTGATCTTAATTGCATCCCTCTGTTAATGCAACTTAGGGTTGCCTTGGCTTTTTTGGCTGCTGCTGCACACGGCTGGCTCATATTTAGCTGATTGTCCACTAAGACTCCAACATCCCTCTCATAGTTACTGCTATTAAACCTGGTTTTACCCAGTCTATATGTATACTTTTGGTTTTGGGCTGTTAGCTGTGGCATGCCAGCAACCGGACCACACCAACAAGCCAAGCCCCATCTGTGGGATGCAGGCATTACATGAACCACGCTCCCTCCGATCCACAGAAAAACCTTTCTCCACAGAACCGGTCCCTGGTACCCAAAATGTTGGAAGCCACTGCCTTACTGGTTCTCTTTTGTCTACTAAAATTCTGAATTTTTACCTTTGCTGCCGACACCAAAACCAGAGCCACACCGAAACCAGCATATAAGGTCTTTTCTACTCTTTGTTGTTAAATGAGTTTTTTTTTCCACTGTTCAACATTGTGAAACAGTTATGAAGAAGCTTATGGATCATAAAGTCAGTTAGAATCAAGCCCAGTGAAGAAACTTGACTTACCAATCTTTTAGATGGCTCGGTTAAAGTTTTTGTTGTTTAAGATGCTATGCCTGAAAAGTTGTATGCGTAGAATGTAGTGGGGAGTAATGGGGACGTAGTAAAACAAATGTTGGAAGAGTAGCACCATATTTAAGGTTTTTACATCTTGTTAAGAGATTTGTAGTTTTGGGGGAAGCGAAAGTATTTTCCCTGGCTAGGTCACTATTATGTAGCTTCTAACCATATGCAGGTGAACACATATGGCTAAATACACAGCAGATGTGCCAAATGAAACCCACATTTAAATAGCTTTCTCTGGCATCTTTCTCAAGAGGCTCAGAACACGTGCTAGGCTAGCATTTGGGTTTCAGCGATGGAATAAACGATGGAAACCTTAGTGACCGTCCTAGAATCAAAGAGAAAACAGATACATCCACAGGGAGCATTTTTGGGGGCCCTGATTCTAGATGCAGAATTGTGGCATGTTGTGGCAAGCACAGCTTTAATCCTTACTTCCTCTGTCCATGTATTTAATATAGGCTGTGGAGAGTGGGAACATGGAAGTTTGTGCTAAGGAATAATTAATTGCAAGGCTTTGTAATGTGGGATCTTTGATGCCGAGTTATTTTCTGACAGACATTTCGTTACGCAACTAAATAGCGTCTGAGCCGTGGCGGCGCAGTGGTTAGAGTGCAGTACTGCAGGCTACATCTGCTGATCACTGGCCGCCTGCCATTTGGCAGTTCGAATCCCACCAGGCTCAAGGTTGACTCAGCCTCCCATCCTTCCGAGGTGGGTAAATGAGGACCCAGCCTGTTGGGGGCAATAGACTGACTCTGTAAACCGCTTAGAGAGGACTGGAAAACAGTATATAAGTCTTAGTGCTATTGCTATCTGCTGGCAATTAGGTAACGTCTGCAAAAAAAAGAAGAAAAAGAAGAAGAAGAAGCTCAGAGAGCACCAAGGACTCCTCATGTCAACCCTGAGCTACCAATGTTCTCTTCTATTCATACTTTGTAATGTGTGCTACAGAATTAACTTTAATAAAAACATGGAAGCCCTAAAGATATGCTTATTATTTAAGAACTGGGGGCAAGATGTTGGGTAGAACAGGACATTCCTTTTTTTTGCATTTAAGGAAGTCTAACCACGGTCTACAATTCTGAATATTTTTTTAAGAAATATAATATCAGGCAGGGATGGGATCCATCTCTGCTGCTAGGTCGCGCAATTCGCTGGCTGGTGCTGTGTCATGCAATTCACAATTACTTTCTGCAATTATTCACTGCACAGAGTCACTGTGTGTGAGTTGGATGGTAATATACTTTTTAAAAATAAATAATAATAATACTTGGAGGTGGGTTTTTTTTTTTTGGATGTATGCAATTCAAGGTCCCAAGGTTGAGCATTTGCTCAATTTTGTAAGCCAATAGAAAACCTAGTCTCACACAAACTAAACTTTGCCTGTTGTGCAGATGCAACCATTGGACCCTCATGTGGAGAGGAGGCGTTAACACAGATCTTAGCTTTATGCAGTCACAACGGCTAAGATCCTATATATCATGCTAACCCATTGTTTGTAACAGGAATGGCTTGTAAAGAATCCCAAGTGGCTTATTACATACTTCAGTCATAAATCACGGTTCCAGGAAGCTCATCCATGAGGCTAAGCAATGAAAGAAAAACAAACACATCACGACTTTGTCTTATTGTGTGAGCCCAGTTAATTGTGGTTTTTCCGTTAAACTGCAATGAAACCAATAACTTACAGCTATTCTTTCAGCCTGTAGTGCTTTATTATGGCAATCACCCAAAGAGGCGACGCAGTTGTACTGTGTGATAGGGAGAGCACTTTGGAGGAAAAACGTCAAGAATATGCTAAGAATATATTGCAGTAATTATTAAACATGTGTATTGGTTTGCAAACAGGTCTGGCAATGGAAGGGCAGGTCGCCTACTTGGGAAGATGCAAGTGTTTAAGGGACGTTCCAAAGTTTTTTAGACCCAAACAAGTGAAACGCATTCAAGTCATCCCCAGAGGAATACATTGCCGAAGAACCGAGATTATGTAAGTGAGACCAACCAGCTTCATATCTGGATTAGAACAGACGCAGAGCAGGGGTGTCAAACTCGATTTCATCGAGGGCTGCATCAGGATTGTGTTTGACCTCAGGGGACCAGGGTGGGCGTGGCCAGCTCGATGTCACTCGTATCAGGGGGCAGCTGTGGTGGCCCGAGCACTCTTCCAGAGAAAAAGGGCTACCGAGCTCCATTTTCACTGGCAGAGGCACCGTGGGCCAGTCCTTCTGTCAGGATTCCAGCAGTTGCCCCAATTAAATCATGACTCTCGAGCCAAACTTCCAAAACTTCAAAGGGATTTATTGGGAATTAACATGTCCGGCATTGCCTGGATTTAACCGACTCTGAGACACATAATTCATCATCATCCTTGGCCCTGGTTTTCCCCCACCTTCTGGGTGTATTGTAATTCATATTCTCCAATGAGACACATCCATAGCCAAGAATCATCAATCATGCTCTCCAGGTAGAAGTTTACGTGGCAGAAACTTCAGTCACCTAGTTACTATCTTTGAAAAACTATTTATGGAATGCACTTTTGATTTCCAAGCTGCTGTACTGTTCTTTCAAACCCCCTTCTCCCCTCTTTTTCTGTTGGCAACTCTAAAAAGACCATAGAAATATTTTATGAGTTGACATTCGGCTCCCCTCACTTCTTGAAGGTGACTTGTACAACACAAAAAGAAAACAAATTTATTGCAGGTATAGGACTTAGGGTTGCGACACCCACCCCAGGCTTCGTTGGATTTTCTGCATGGAACCTTGCACTTTTTAGAGTTGTTACCTTTGCTGTTTCCAGAGTGGCCCCATAGGCCAGATCTAAGCACCCCCGGGCCTTGAGTTTGACACCCCTGGCCTTAAGAGGAAGCTTGTCATCTGGAACAGGGATCCCCAACTGGTCCATAGCATGCTAGAAACGAGGCCATGCAAACAAGCGAAGTCTCATCTGCAGGATGCAGGCAGCACACGAAACCACAACCCTTCCGATCTGTGGCAAAACCTCTCTCCACAGAACTAGTCCCTGGTGCCCAAAAGATTGAGGGGCTGCTGATCAGGAAGACTAACAGCCTCTTTTCTCTTTCAGAGTTACTCTGATAAATGAAAGGAAATATTGTGTCGACCCTGACAGTCCTCGGGTGATTTCATTGCTTGAACAGTTGGCCAGGAGGTACAGTCTTGCATATTTATTTTTATTTGTACTCCGCCTTTATTTTTAAAAATAGAGCCGCAAACTTACACAATACACCTTTCTCCTTCCTATTTTTCCCACAACCCTGTCAGGTGGGTTGGGCTGAAAGAGAGTGACCACCTGGCTTTCAAAGCTAAGGCAGGATTAGAACTAGGATTAGTACCGGTTGTTAATTTTTTTTTGAAGCCCAGCCCTGGCATTAGCAATATAAAATGAAGTGGTTTGAATGTTTTCAACAATAAAGTTATTATTTCTTAGCACTTGGGGAACCGTACCGGAAATAACATAGAATTCAACTCATATAAAGAGCTAGATACGGAGTCTAAGACTTCTAAGTTTTGCAATCTTTACATTACAAGACCCTTATGACTGTTTTTAACATTTAAAATCATTAAAAACTTTAGGTTATGTAATAACAACAAATTTGCTTTGATTGCAGGTAATTTCAAATGGATTTTTGGGGGGGTGAACACATCCTTCAGATGTCTTGACAAAACAGCTGATCCTGCAAATATCAGATTATGTTTCCATATGGATAGATTTAATTGTATACGTTCAAGTGGAAATTTCTGCATTCCTTGGAAAAAGCTAGTGGCAGAAGGCAGACACAAGGAAATAATGGCTGTTTTGGAATAAAATTCAAGATATTGTGTATTTGCTTAAAGGAAACTTAACAATTCTAGCAAAGCTACTATTGAATAATTATACTATGCAGCTACTCCGCAGTTACCACCCAGAGCTATGACTTCACAGCAGTTTTGCTTCTTGTAAGTTTTTAATAATTATGTTCTCCGCATATGATCTCTCTCTCCCCCAAACTTCACATAGTCCTAATCCTGCTCATATCCTAGATTCCCTCAAATATTTTTTTTCTATTTTGTATTCTACAAGAATGTCTTGAGCTGTTTGGCTGAAAAGAAAGGGAAATTCACAAACCATTCAGAAGCGTGGCAGTTGATAAAAAATAAAGGTTAATTTCATATGAATGAAATTAACTTTTCAGGTCGTGGCTTATAGGTAACCAAGCCAGGCCTACTCTTTATAATTTAACTTTCAACCTCCGATGCCTTGCTCTATTTGTGGCACGTATTAACAACATGTATGTTTTGGATATTTGCCACAAACTATTACAATGCCTAACGTTGTGTCGGCAATGTGATGAACATGTATTCACTCCTTTTGCAAAAAGAGCCACCAGCCTTTTTTGACACATGGATAAATTTGGAGTTTCAAACAGATCTCTATAATGGAGCCTGGTGAGAGGACTACCTAACTTACAAAAGGGGAGCCACTCTGTCCATTAAAAACAAACAAAAACCACCTTTTCCAGCTAACTGACAGATTTTATTAAAAGGCATGAACTTTGTTCGAAAGGCATAACTTATGTAGCCAGAGACATTCTGAGATTACACAGTTCTTCATCTTTTCTTCTTTTATTGCTTGAAAACATCCTTTTTCAGCCAAGTAGCAAACAGGGATGACTTTGTCCACGCCACCCAGAACTCCATCAGTATTTTATCTAGAGCAGGGGTCTCCAACCTTGGCAACCTTAAGACTTGTGGACTTCAACTTCAAGAATTCCTCAGCCAGCAAAGCTGGCTTAGAAATTCTGGGAGTTGAAGTTCACAAGTCTTCAAGTTGCCAAGGTTGGA